TGTGGGGAGGGTTGCAGCAGGGAGAGGGGCCCTGACCTGTCAGTCTTGGTTACAATCATCTCGGTGCCCAGATCATTGAATTCATTCCACAGAGCCTTCATCTTAAGCTGCACACTCACGCTGGCCACCTTTGCATTGTTCTTTACTGGCACCTTGGTGGTGGCTGCGCAACTGGCCTTGGGGCCTTTGGGCTCGGCAGTGGCGCTAGTGGCAGGCCCTGCAGCTGGCATGTCATAGTGGCTGGTTGTTCCAGTTGTTCCGCCGTAATTGTCACTGGGTTTCTAGTATATATAGACTAGAGGCCCAGTGCACAGATTGGTGCATGGTGGGGTGATCCGCTGGCCGGTGATCAGGGCCACTTCACCCAGTCCTGATTGGCCACTTAGGGCCAGGGCCAGCTAGTGGGGGGAGAGTCCACGGGAGGTTGGCCAGCCATGGGAAGTTGGCTGTGGGAGTGCACTGACCACTAGGAAGCAGGTCCTGCATTGAGAATCTTCCCCCTGGTGGTCAGTACGTGTCATAGCTACCGGCTGGTCATCTGGTTGTAACATTTGCTTAGGCTTTTATATGTATAGATTGGCCAGAATTTGTCAGAATTACATCAAATGGTCAGCCAGTCTGAGAGGAAAACTGAGAGTGTAGTGTTTTTAATTGAACACATGGCCACTCTCAACTTCTAAGGAAGAAGAAGAAAATGATATTGGATAGGCAACAGTGTCTGCCTTAGATAGATATGGCATGTTTCTAAAATTTAACAGGTACTTTGGATGGGAAAGACCTTTTGGATTTTTATCATAACTACATTTGAGTCAGTAATAAGGAAATCTTCAATATATTTAAATTAAAAATTTTTGTGATTAGGAGTATTCAGTGTTGATATATAAATTGTAGGGCATTTGGCACATTGCCTTTGTGGATTGAATGATTTTCACTTCAACTATATCCAATTTACTCCTAACATAACCCTAAAAAACTCAGTATACCTATTTTTCAGATGAGGATACTTAAGCTCAAAGAGGTTAAGTCACTTGGTCAGAGTCACACAACTAATAAGTTTCAGAGCTGAGACTGAGCCTAGATTTAAAAAAAAAATAAAAATCCATGCACTTTCCTCTCCGCTAACAATGCTACTTTACGAATTACCGTATTTTTCGGACCATAAGACGCTCTGGACCATAAGACGCACCAGTTTTTAGAGAAGGGAAATGAAGAAAAAAAGATTCTGAAACAAATAGTGTCCTAAAATATTTTATGTGCATTAAAACCCAACATCACAGTCATAAACACATGTAATCAACCCTGTAAAGTAAACAGCAGCATTTAGAACCATTTTAGAGCCAGGCAAGCACACAGAGACCACACAGAGCCGGGCAAGTAAAAAAACTTTTTTTTAAAAGTATATGTGTAGGCTATATTTGGACCATAAGACGCAGGGACTTTTCCCCCCACTCCTGGGGGAAAAAAGTGCGTCTTATGGTCGGAAAAATACGGTAGATCCGTACTTCAAGCAAGGCACTTAAAACCAGTTGTTATTTTGATTTTTCCCCCCTATTTCATTAGTTTTTGCCTTTTTCCTTCTTCCTCTGAATTCCCAGTTTTTAATTTGGGAATGTTTCTCAGGCTTCTTTTGTTTCTAGTGACACCAGCGTTTTACAAGAATTCAGTCCTTCCTTTTACAGAATGTTTCTCCGTTTAAATTTTTCTGTTTCCTTAAGATTAGATTTAGATTGTGCATTTTGGGTGGAAAACCTCAGAAATTATATCCATCTCAGTCATTTGAGGAGATGCAAATGTTCGTTTGTCTCTCATTGTTAGTGGTCATTTGGTAGCTTTGGTCACTTTTGCTAAAATGGTGTGTATCATGTTTTTTTACTGTAATATTTGAAATTATGTGTATTTTGTGGGGAGATATTTCAAAAGTATGTAAATATCCTTCTCACCAATTCTGATTGGCTAATTTTAGTATTTAGCAATGATTCTTGCCCAATCCTTTATAGAAAACCACAAATTGGGGTTTTTCTAACTCCATCACTCCTTTATACAGGGCGGGACAAAAATAAGTTTACAGTTTTTAGTACATGAAACAGTTTATTCTTGTGTTGATATCTATTTTTTAATTAAATTCTGCTTTATTTTTTATAATAAATCTTTATTGTATTCCTCTCCCCTCTCCCCCATAGCTCCCTTCCACCTGATTCCCCAACCCCACCTCATGCCCTTACCCCCGCCACTGTCTTTATCCATAGGTATAAGATTTTTGTCCAATCTCTTCCTGCACCCCTCAGACCCCCTTGCCCCTGAAAATTGTTAGTCCACTCCCTTTTTATGTCCCTGATTCTATTATATTCACCAGTCCATTTTGTTCTTCAGATTTTTTATTCACTTGATTTTTAGATTTACTTGTTGGTAGGCATGTATTTGATGTCTTTTTGTTGTTCATAGTTTTTACCTTTACCTTTTTCTTCTTCTTCCTCTCCTTAAAGAATACCCTTCAGCATTTCATGTAATCCTGGTTTGATGTTGATGAATTCCTTTACCTTTTTCTTGTCTGTGAAGCTCTTTATCTGACCTTCAATTCTGAATGATAGCTTTGCTGGGTAGAATAATTTTGGTTGTAGGTTCTTGCTGTTCATCACTTTGAATATTTCTTGACACTTCCTTCTGGCCTGCATAGTTTCTGTCAAGAAATCAGCTAACAGTTGTATGGGTACTCCCTTGTAGGTAACTAGCTGTTTTTCTCTTGCTGCTTTCAAGATTCTCTCTTTGTCTTTTGCCCTTGGCATTTTAATTATGGTGTGTCTTGGTGTGGTCCTCTTTGGATTCCTCTTGTTTAGGGTTCTGTGCGCTTCCTGAACTTATAAGTATTTCTTTCACCAGGTAGGGAAAGTTTTCTGTCATTATTTTTTCCAATAGGCCTTCAATATCCTACTAGCTCTCTTCTTCTGGCACCTCAAAAATCCAGATGTTGGTACGCTTAAAGCCGTCCCAGAAGCTCCTTACACTATCCTTGCACTTTTGGATTCTTCTTTCTGCCTCTCTGGTTGGGTGTTTTTTGTTTCCTCATATTCCAGATCTTTGGTTTGACTCTTAGGGTACGTTGATCTACAGTTGAGTTTCTGTATATTCTTTATTTCAGACAGTGTATGCTTAATTTCTGACTGGTCGTTTTCCATTTTTTTGGCATTCTCATTAAGGTCCTTGAAGGTCTCACTAAGCTTCTTGGAGGTCTCATCAAGTTTCTCCAAGGTCTTTAGGAGATTCTTGAGTAATCTTATAAATGTGGTTCTGAACTCTGTGTCGCCCAGTAGTTTACTTTCCTCCATCTCTCCCATTCATGACATGCTTCTGTGTCTCCTCATTTTGGCTGCCTTCCTGTGTTGATGGAGTGGCTTTGTGTGGTCGGTGACCTATAGGGGTCAGTAGCTCAGCTCCCCCAATCACCTGATGTGGTTGCTCTTGGTACACCCCATTGTGGGCTGAGTGCAAAGTTTTGGTGTAATTAAGCCTTGATTGCTGTTGGTACACTGGGAGGAATTGACCTCCAGGCCAATTGGCTGTGAAGACCCACTGTGTCTATAAAGGAAGAACTGCTGCACTGGAGATGTGCCTTGTTTCAGTGGGGCTTCGGTGCTCACTGAGTGCGTATCCTGAATGTCGCTTATGGGTGTGAGGAGTTGAAACTGACCACTAGGAACACTGGCTTCTGGATCTCCAATGGGGCACAGTTCAGCTACTGTCTGGGGCCACCCTGCAGGAGCTACAGTGAGAACCATAGTCCTCTCCTCCCTGCTTGGAGCTTGGAGGCTTTGGGGCTGTCTGCACCAGGCTTCAGGTTTGCTAGGTTATACTGTACTAGAGGCCATTCATATGCAAAAGCCACTGCTTGGAGCTTGGGTGTTTGTAGGTTGTGTGGGGCGGAGTCTCAGGGCATCACTAGGCTAGGGCGTGGCCAACAGCGATGGTTGCCTGTCAGCCTCTCTGCCTTTCCCACCATGCCCCCGCATCTCGCGCCCCCACCAGCAAACAATTATTCTTGCATGCAGCCCTGCAAGCAAGCCACCCTCACTTTCCAACTCAATGGCAGACAGTCTAGCTTCTCCCCAGAAACTGGATTTCAGAGAGATTGGGAGCTTGTCTCTCTTTGGGTTGAAGAAAGCAACGCCCACCAGCCTGTATCACACATGCGCCCTCTTACCTCAGTTTTTCAGCACTTGTCCCCTGAATGCTCCTTTCTCTTTCAGTCTAGTTATAGGGCTTTCTTTCAGCCAGCTTGCCTGTGGTTCTGGGTGGTAGACATTTTGTCTTTTAGTTGTAGTTTTGAAATTGTTATGCATGGCAGCAATTTAGGTGTGTTTACCTACACCGCCATCTTGGATCCCTCTTGTTATCTATTAATGAACTTGTATTTTCCATATGAACAACGTAAACCTGCTTTGTCACACCCTGTATTGAATACTTGGCATTGTATTACAAAGAAGAGCTTCCCCTTCTTTCTCATTATTTGTTCATATTACTGTGAGCTCCTGGAATATTATTTTATTCAATGGGTTTGTAGTCTGTTACTACCTGTTGCTAGCAATATGTACTTTGGTGTTCATTGTCCGGTTGTAAGCTCATTTTTTGAGTCCTTCCTTACTTTAGACACAGTAAAATGTTCTAGGTTTATCTTGCCCCAGACCTGGAATTGGCTATTTCTCCAAGAAACATTGTTTTTTTCAATGGGTTGCCTAAAGCAGCGTAGTATAATATTTCAAAACCCCCGGCCCTATCACTTCTTAGCTGAGTTGATTTGATCAAAATATTCAACCTCTTTAAACCCCAATTTTTATTTGGAAAATGGGGATTAAAATGGTACATATCTTATAGCTTTGTTGTGAGGATTAACTTAAATAATTTACTTAAAGAGCAATATATATACAGCACATAGTAAATATGACATAAATGTTGCCTATTATTATTATTATTATTACATTATTCTCTCTTTTTTCTTTCTTTGACAGGATGCTTTTTTAAGGAATGACTGAAGACAAAGTTTTTTTATTTTTGTTCTTAATGGCTTTACAGAATTTTAAACCGAATACAATTTGACATGACGGCAAAAAATGTAAGTATTTGTAAGTGTTTTAATGTAAGTATTTTTAAAGTAAGTTATACTTTTCCTACTGGTTTCTTTTTTCCCCCCACCAATCGGGTTCTTCAAATTTAATTTACTGTCATTAATTTATAATTGTTTTTGTTCATGCAACGAATGAGATAGTAAATTTGAATGCTACTGAATCCAGTAGGCTAATGGGCATGGTAGCATTCGTATAAATTGCTGCTAAGTTGCTCCTTCTGAATAGCTACTAAATTGCTGTCTCCAGAAAGTTTCCCACCCTGCTCCTTTGTTGGGTACAGTAATAAATTTGCTTTGGTATTGCTGGAGATTTTCTTACCCTCACCATTTTCTTTGGTTCAGTGATTTTCTCAGGGAAATGTGTATACTCACGTATAGTTCAGAAAAGCCTGCTATCCTCCATGGCATGATTCCTGGAGCGACGTTAGGACTTAGAGGTTTTGGAGAAATTATTCAGTTTTTGTTTGTTTGAAACTATCATTTCTTAATCTACTTTCTTTGAAGTTACATTTTATTGTCATAAAATGTAAATGATAATACATTTTATTATCAATGGATTTGTTCTCAGTTATGGTGAAGGATTATGCCAGAAAAGAAATACTAAGCATTCAGGAAGTAACTTACTATAATAGCTTTACTATTCTAGATTATTATGTTGGAATTTTTTATTGCAGGTTACAGAAATCAGCATAGACTTAAACAAAAAGGGAATTTATTATAAAGATACAGAGATGTCTCAAGGAATTGAGTGGGCCCTCAGAAAGACCTGGATCTAGGAACTTGAGATCTACCAGGAATTGAGGCAATACTTGGTTTCCATATGTCATCTCTGCTTGTCTCTGTGCATCTGCTTCATTACTCTGTCTCTCTGCCTATCATCTTCCTCAGTTCTCCAGTTAGCATCTCAATTGACATATTTCAGAGCCAGCCTGTTCAGAGAGAGACAAGTGTGAAAGGGAGAGACGGAGGCAGCCCTGCAGGTTGGGGAGGATGTCTGGCAGTGCCTCAGCTTGACACTCACTAGAGGTTTGGTTAGTTATGACCAGGAGAAGCAAGCATCATATTGAGTAAAAAGGTCTCCTTGTAAGCCAGACATATAATTCTAAATACCATTATCCATCTAAAGAATGGCACTTAAAAATAAACCCTTGCCGAAGCCGGTTTGGCTTAGTGGATAGAGCATCAGCCTGCAGACTGAAAGGTCTCAGGTTTACGAGCCATTCTGCAGTAGATAAGAACATTTTTGTGGCCTTTAGCAGGTTTTGCCAAGATACTTACTAAGAAGATTATACTAATTTATGATGCTATGAGCAATTCCTTCTCTTTCCCATCCCCACGGTTCTCTAACAAATACTACATGTACTGGTTAATATGGATTTTTTTCAATAGATGGAGTTACACATACGTTGATATATATGCAATTTGATATGTATGCTATTTTGTTGTATTGACAAAAAACTTCATATGTCAAATTTTCTGAAGGTGTTATCATAGATATTTTTACACTTAAAAATGTCGAATTTCATGCCAAAAAAAAAAAAAAAAGCATTTGTGAGAAGTTTTCATTCATTCCTTTATTTTGAAGAAAAGTGCTGCTGAATACTTTGGGAAGTATTATTAACTGATACACCTAGTATATATGCACATTACTATTCTAGGCTCCTGCCTTCTTGGGTCTTATAGTGTAGTGAGAAAAAGACAGTGTCAGGTAATGATAATTGTTGTGAAGAAAAACACTAAAAGGAGAGATTGACAGGGATGAGGAAGTGCTCTTTCAACTGGATGATCAGAGGAGTCCTCTTTAAGAGGAAATGACATTTAGTAAGAGCAATGCTCTTAAATCTCAATCCAAGCAGCCAGCCATGTGTGTATCTGGAGAAAGAGCATTCTAGGTAGAGGCTGTCCCTCGAAATACATCCTAGATCCAGCCACTTTTCCCCATCTCCAATATGTCATTTGGTACTAATTAGGATACAGGGCAGAGGATAAATTAAAGAAGACTTTTCGTATTTGTCTTGTGCAACTTGGTAAAGAGGAACTCTTGCGGTAGTGTAGGATTTTGGGGTATACTGGAAAATCGTTTTGAATATATTAAAGTTGAGGGACCTAATAACATCACAGTAGAGATATTGGCTAGGCAGTTTGGTAAGTGACTCTGGAGCTCAGGGTAAGGCTTGGGACTGGATATAGAAATTTTTGTAGTCATTTCATATTAAATTATTTTAAAGCAGAGGGAGTATATGAGATTATTTAGTACATGAATGGTTAGAGAATACATGAGGACCAAGGAGACTAAAGGAATGGCCAGAAAAGAAGGAGGCAGTGTTATCCCGATGATCTGGACACCAGCGAAGGAAGTGTTTCAAGAAAGAGAGAGTGATCAGTTATGTCACATGTCACTGAAAAGTGACTCTGATATAGAAGATATTGCCTGGTCTTAAGGTGGCATCTTAGACATATATTCAGTTACTTACGTCTTACTTTTTTTGTTTTCCATTTTGCAGTTCTTTTATGAGAAAAGTGTTTTTGTGAGGAGTTAGTTGCATGTTTTCCATGCCATACTTGGTCTCTTATGGTTGTAAGCAATAGAGTATGAGGTGTGTTTTGTTTTGTTTTTTTGCCTTGTTCAAAATAGCTTATGGCCGAAACCGGTTTGGCTCAGCGGTAGAGTGTCGGTCTGCGGACTTAAAGGTCCCAGGTTCGATTCCAGTCAAAGGCATGTACCTTGGTTGTGGGCACATCCCCAGTAGGGGGTGTGCAAGAGGCAGCTGGTCGATGTTTCTCTCTCATCGATGTTTCTAGCTCTCTATCTCTCTCCCTTTCTCTCTGTAAGAAAATCAATAAAATATATTTAAAAAAAATAAAATGATGCTATTTAAAAAAAAAAAATAGCTTATGGCAAAAGTGGAACATGCTGGTTCACATAATGAAAGTCTGGAGTACTCTGGCTTCAGACACCGCTGGATTCAGGGGATCAAATGATGGTGTCAGAGCTCTGTTTTTCTTTTCCACCTCTTGCCTCTATATGGTGGCATAACGGCCTACATTGGCCTTAGGATGTTTGTCTCAGAGGAAGAGAGGGAAGTTTTCTTTTTTAGCATTTATATTTCAGATTCCATGCAGAAGCTTTGGTTGCTTTTGTTGCTTGGCCTACTGCTTAGACAAGTGAGTGTGAAGAAGGAAATTGGTACCATAAATAGCCAGATCTACTACTGTTATGGTACCAAGGCACAATTGTGACACTAAGATGAAGAGTCCTACCAGAACTTTATGGATTGTGGCACAGATTACTACTCTGCTGAGATGGCAATATATTCATTGTATCTAGGATAAAATAAATTGTTACTCAGTAGTATCTAGTATCCAGTGATAATCTTCTAGACCAGTGTTTCCCAAAGTGTGGTACGGGTACCCCCAAGGGTATGGGAAGAGTTTGGTGGGGATATGCACTGCACCATGCTTAGCTGCGCCTAATTCTACGTTCTCATGAGTACGAGGGGTACTCAGTGTTACAAAAATTATAGAAGGGGTACACGTATGTCAAAAGTTTGGGAAACACTGTTAAGAATCTAGACCAATGGCTCTCAATCTTTCTAATGCCATGACCCTTTAATATAGTTCCTCATGTTGTGGTGACCCCCAATCATAAAATTATTTTTGTTGCTACTTCATAACTGTAATTTTGCTACTGTTATGAATCATAACATTAGAAAGGTTGAGAACCACTGTTCTAGACCCAAAATGAACATGTGTCTAACTTAAGCTCATTCATTATACAGTAAAGAATTTGAAACTTAACATGAGGTGTATTTTGGTTTATTTGCCTTGTCAAGAATTTCTTTAAAAGTATGAATGCCATATGCTCATAAAAAATTAGAAAATACGGATAAAGAAAAGAAACTAGAGATTATGAGCAAAAATTTAGCTGGTATATATACAAATATATACATATAGATATAAAATTATGTATGTTACATATTTTATTAATTTTAATATCTTTTATTTAACTCAGTTTCATAAAAATATTGTCATGTAATCCATACAAAAATATTTCCCCCTTTATTGAATTTATTGGGGTGACATTAGTTAATAAAATTATATAGGTTTCAGGTGTTCAATTCTCCATTATCTGTATGTTACATATTTTTAGTAAAAATGAGGTCATGCTATTTTGTAATCTAGTTAGCTTAATCTCTGATGAATGTTTTTTCTTGTCTTGATAACTCTGCAACATAATTTTATTTATTTTAAAAATATATTTTATTTATTTTTTACAGAGAGGAAGGGAGAGGGATAGATAGTTAGAAACATCGGTGAGAGAAACACCGATCAGCTGCCTCCTGCACACCCACCTCTGGGTATGTATCCGCAACCAAGGTACATTGCTTGATTGGAATCGAACCTGGGACCCTTCAGTCCACAGGCTGATGCTCTATCCACTGAGCCAAACTGGGTAGGACTGCAACATTATTTTAAATGGATGTTTTGTGTTATATGGACATTATACCAGTTTTCTAATATTGACCATTAAATTAAAATTTTTTTTAATTTTGTTTATTTGTTGGATTATTTCCATGAGGCAGAGTCTTAGGAAGTTACTGTTTCCAAGGGTGTGCTTTCTGGGAATTTTTTTTATAACATATTTTTATGATTTCAGAGACGAAGGGAGAGAGAGATAGAAACATCAATGATGAGAAAGAATAGTTGATTGGCTGCCTCCTATACGTCACGGGATCAAGCCTACACATGTGGCCTTAACCAGAATCAAACCTGGGACCTTTCAGTCAAAAGGCTGATGGATCTATCCACCGAGCCAAACCGCCTAGGTCTTTCTGGGTAGACTTTTGACTCATATTGCTAAATTGCATTTCGAAAAGATTGCATCAATTTATGTATAAACCAGTGGAATATTCAAGTGACATTTCCATTTTCATTTTAGAGAAAGAGAGAGGGATAGAGAGTTAGAAACATCGATGAGAGGGAATCAT